TCGACTCAACAGAATTATTACCAGACGACAATACCAATATCGAATAGCTAGACACAACGGTTAGTCTGTTGTGGCGATAAAGCAGGCACAATAACTCTGACCAGCACAATGATATTACGGCTAAGCGATAAAACTACTATGGAAGGCTAGTCTCGACCCCTCTTAATCAAACGAAAGAATAAATGAAAGAATAGAGATCAGAGAGAGAGAGAAACAAAAAAGGATAAGAGAAGAAGAAGAGAATATAAAGGAGGGGAGAAAGATAAGGAAAGGAGAAGAAGAGCGTGAGAGAGAATAGAGGGAAAAGAAAAGGTAAAGACAGACATAGACGACAATGAGAGAAGGAGAGAGAAAACTTAGACGGTGTTGTGCCCTTGCATGCTATGACAAGTAGAGAGAAGAAAGGAAAGACACAGGCGGCGATGTGCTTTCGCCGACTGTGACAGAAGGAAGGGGAGAGAAGACACATGCGACGCTGGGCCTTCACCGACTGTGTTAGAAGAAGAAGAAAGAGATAACATAGACAGTGTCGAGCCTTCACCGACTGTGGTGGAAGAAGAGGAAAGAGAAGACAGGTGGCGCTAAGCCCTCGTCAACTGTGGTGGAAGAAGAGGAAAGAGATGACACAGGCAGCGCTGAGCCCTCGCCAGGTGTGGTGGAAGAAGAGGAAAGAGAAGACACATGCGGCGCTAAGCCCTTGCCTGCTATGGTGGAAGAAGTGGAAAGAGATAGAGCACATACGACAATGGACTTCGCCGTTTGAGACACAAGAGATACAACAGAGAGAGCACAGACGGTAATGGAGTTCGTCGTTTGGGACACAAGAGAGACAAGAGAGTTTTGACAGAGGCCCAGCCCGCCATCCAGGTTAAGGCCTGGCTCACTTTTTGTGTCTCAAAAACAGGAAGGCATCACACCCGATAAGAAGTCCGCCATGAGTGAGTAGAGAAAAGAAAGAAAAGCAGGGAATAAGAGACATGATAGACCAGAGGAGGAAGAGAGAGAAAGAGATAAAGATGAAAACAAGAAAGAGAAAGGGAGAGACAAGAGAGAAAAAAAGAGAGAGAAAGAGAGATTGAGATGAGAAAGAAAAGGGGAGAGATAAAAGAGAGATAGAGATGAGAGAGAAAAGGGGAGAGAGAAAAGATGAGGAGACAGAAAATTACCTTATCAAGGGGTATCAACTCTTTTTTTCTTTTTCCTCTCACTCTCTCTCTAAGATGTACCCATGAACTTAAGCAAGAATTGAAATCTTTATTGAATGATTGAATAATGAACTAAAGGTCCTTTATAATCGGGTTTTGCATGTTTATATAGAATTGGGCCCAAACATGAGTGGATACCTAAAAATTACCTAAATTGATGATAATTACAATTATTCTGAATTAAAGAAAATTAAAAAAATAGGGTACAAAAGGACTATTTTGCCCTTGCCTGACAATAGATGGAATTCTATAACAGTCCCTGTTGCTGCCCTAAAACTTGTGTGATCTTTCGCGACTGATCCGGAGTTGCTTTGATGCCCATTTGATGGAAAGATAATTATTTTCTTGTAAAGCTCGGCATGACGATCAATTTGATACCAACTTCGAGCCATGAATTGTGTTTTTAGGCTACGATTATGAGACTTGAAATTTATATGAGTGTTGGAAACTTTAGATCGATAGTGTGCTCTTTCCTTAACGTTTTTCTCGATTTCTTCACTGTAGTGCATTGAGCATGCCGTTACGATTGCGTGACAACAAGCGGGACGCGATTTAAAACCCGAACGAAGATTTCACAACTTTTGGGTTTTGGTCGGAATCTAGATTCCGACAGTCAAAATTTACAGTCCCTTCGTCGACTTCGTGTGCAAAATCTAACTATTCATCGTGTACGAGGTTTGGATCAATGGTGTCCCTGGACCTTATGTACACGATGGAATTAGTTTCACGTTTATCCGATGCACGAGCACCGTGATTTGGCCGCTCGAACGAGACGTGTCGCTGCTGATTTTTCTACAACTTCTTCACGAATCAGCAACTTCTCTCTAGATTTTCTCCCTGCTCAAGTGTCATCACGGGGCGTACCATATATTGAAATACTCGTCTTAACGAGACGAAAGCAATCACCTTTAATGATGTTTTGGTGCTGGGTGGCCACACGTAAATAGTGTTCGGCTCCTCGTATTTCAATATTTTGCTCATAATGTTTTCCTAGAATGTCTAATTAAGCTGAAACTTGGCCCATTAGGGTTTTCGACCATGCCGGATCAAATGGCGGTGATCCCACAGCTTTGATGCACCAAAAATATAGTTCTAATCGTAAGGGTCTGTTTCAAGGTGCTAGAGGCCATTTTTTTCGAAATTTTTCTTTGTGTTCACTGCTTTAGACATGTCAGATTGCGACAAAAATTGGCAGGTGACCTTTTCAAATACTTATGAAGATCTTGATCAGTTATGGGGCTATTTTGAGACTATCAAAGTTTCCACTATTTTGTCAGGCTTTATTGACCGGCTTCCTCTTTATTCCACATCTGGGACCAAGGTGCTGAAAAATGTATTCAAACAACTTGCCCCACTGAATTTCGTGATTCGAAGGAAGTGAAAAAGGCAACATTAAGAAAATTTCCTTCAGCTTTATTGCTTTTTTCTTCCTAGCCACAGGACCACGTGAATGTCGAGGAGATTCACACAATATTGCAACTAGGATGCTCAGACATTGAGATGTATTGTTCGCAGGTCCGTCCGTGGATACTTTAGGGGGGAAATGAGATTTTTTTTGAGGGATCTGTCAAAGTCCTCACCCTTAAGGGACTAGTAAGGAATTTGTACGCATCTCGTTGATCAGAATCAAGCCCATCTGGCAATTGAGTGTCATGTTGAAGGGCATTGTTCCCATTTGGTATGGGTTTGTTTGCATCTTCTGGTGTTGAGCCACGTTTCGAGGATTTTGTAAATGGTGTGCTGAAGGGCTTTCTGTCGGTGCCGTCTACTTTGTGCACCAGTTATTCCTTGGCGAGTAGGGTACCTCAATTTATTGAGGTGACCAGCTTTGGGTATAACCCCTACCCACTGCTGTGCAGTTTCGACATAAGATACCTTTCGATCCTGATTACCGCACAAAATTCATGGTTGACTTAGCTTTCTTGGGGCGTCTTCAACCTTTTTGGACTGTGTTGTTAACCTCTCGGGAATGATGCCCTTCTTCATGAGAGTTCTCTTGCTTTCTTGGCAAATCTTCTGCTCATCGATTCCTTCATGTGAATGGACTCAGGTTGTCTAAATATTTTCCTTGAAGCTCGTATTTTTGTGTCCTGGTATTATGACACCAGGGATTTTTCTTTTTGAATGCAAGCTGAAACCACCTGTGGAGGCGAGTGCTTGAAAGCGGCACCGTAGAGACATTTTTCACCAACTTCCTTTTATTTGGGGCTCTTTTACCCATGACCTTTTGGCTGCGTCCAAATATAGTTTATTGTTTCTTTAATTTATTTTACTATTTTCTAAATATCAATTTAAACAAATCTAAAGCTAATTTAAATTGTTGATCCAATGATCCAACACAAATTTGTAGGTGAACAATCCACCCAATCTATCTAAGTGAGTGCTCGCAAAATCAAACGCGAACAATTAACCGAACATGGGGCCAAAAGCGATTTAACTAGCCTATCTAGTAAACCAACAATTCAACCGTTCTAACAGAGCAAGCCCCGAGCGGTCAAAAAAATTATTAAAAAAATAAAAAAGAAAAAAAAAATCTACAAAAATATGAAAAGCTTATAAAATATGATTAAAACAAAACTCATTCAAATGAAGTTGAAAATTAATGAAAAAATAGATTTTAAAAATGAGTATTAATGACCAAACCAATTTGTAATATTTACCATAATATAAAAAATATTAAAAAATGTATTACAAATCAAATTCTTTGTTTTTGGGATTTCATAAACATTTTTTTTAAGTTCTATTTTTAAAATACCAACCGATCATCAAAACCGCTCAAAACTGAATCTAACAAGGGGGTGGTTCCAATCTAACTGGGCAATTACTGATTAGATCGGGCAATTTTTCAAATAATGATCTAGGCTGCAAAACACCGCTTGATTGTTTTAATATTGAGATTTGAGACCTTGTACAAACTACACCTAGTTTAGTAAAACATGAGGTTTGTAGAAAGTGTCAACCTTGAGGAGTGATTTCATCATAGTTGTATAGAGCAATATAATGAATCAATCTTCAAAAACCCATTTGTTTATCCCAAATATTAAAGGGCAATGATTTAAAACCCATTTGTTTATCCCAAATTTTAAAGGGCAATGATTTAATGCAACTGTTGTATAATAATATAATGCAACAACTTAAAAGAAAACGACGTTATGGCTATTTGTTTGATTCAAATTTTAAAATCTACACTCTTTTCGTTTGAACAACCACAAAAAAAGAAAAAATTGAAAACAACCTAAAAAGTACTTTTTTAACCCAATTAAAAATTTAATGACACATTTAAATAACATGATAACATCATATCAATTTCCCATTTTGTCCATAAATGTACGTGTAAGTTTGATGTCAAAACCCTGGTGATGGTTCGAAAATCAATATTTACCCCCACTTATAAAATTTAAAATTTCAAAAAAAGTACAAATCACATTTAGTAACACTTAAAAATCTTCAAAAGAAAAATATTCCAGATGGTTTAATGCAAGATGTTCTAGTTTTAAAACTTCAATTTTTTTTTCTTCATATCAACATATACTGAAATCAAGATAATCAAATTAAAACCTTTCACAACATCAAAACACCGTCTTAGAGAACTTTTTAGGTACACCTTAACTTCAATAACACAAGGTGACACCTTTCATCAACATTTTCCTTTCATAAAATTAACCCCTCTTTTGACATCCAAAACAAGCAAGAATTCATTAGAGGGACATATTTGCCCCATCTCTCCAAAACCAATTATGCCAACAACAAACATAGTAGCAAAAAATGAACCCATGAAGAGAGATAGCGAGGAAGAGAGAGAGAAACAGGTGAAGATAAATTTAGTCCGTCAAATGTGAGTCTACCTACTCATCATAATGTTACATTCAATTTGCAGCACCATCATCCAACAATATAAATCCCCCTAACCTTTCTTTCACACAATAGAAAAGAAAACCACAAGTGAAAAGGGTAAAAACAAGCACTATGCGTGGTGGGGACAGAGAGAGAAGAAGACTAAAACGAAGAGATGAGATAAGCCCATTAGCACCTTCACAGAGAGCAGGCCACACTCCAGTCAGGTCCAAAACCCACTAAGAGAGAGAGATCAGCAGTAGCAGTTTCATGTAGAGAGAAAAAGGTCATCCTACTCCCTAGGAACCTTTGGAGGCCTTCCACGCCGAGCTCCGGTCCCTGAAGACTTCGGCGGGCGGCCCCTGGGCCTGGGAGGCCTAATGGGCACAACAGGACTGACAGAGCCATCAGGCCTGGGCTTTGGAGGCCTACCCCTTGGCCTGGGAAAGGGCTTCGCAGCAACAGCAGCAGCCAAAACAGCTGCACTCCTGGGCTTTGGCGGTCGGCCCCGTGGCCTTGGGGGCCCAATGGGTACAACAGTGGGCTTGCTCTTGCGAGGCCTGCCTCTCGGCCTTCCCGACTTGGTCGGAGAAGGCCCAACTTGGGTAACAACCAACGCAATGGGCTCACCGGTGGGCTCTGCGTTAGTGGGTTCCTCAGGTCCAGGTTCAGCTCCAGCTTCAGCTTGAGGTTCAGCTTGGTTGGGTAGCTTGTAGGAATTTTTTACCATTACAAGCTCTCCACACTCTTTGAGTCTTCGGAGGTGATGTGCAAGGAGAGCAGTGTGGGTGGGAGGAAGGTTTGGATAGTTGGCCTCCATGTATTTGTCAATAGCCCTCTTACTCGAACCATTCTCCTCTTTCAGTGCAGTTATAGCGCTTATTATCATCTGACAAAATCACAACAAATTCACAAAAGCAACACAAATGTAAGGAATGGAGAGAACACTGAAAATCTAAATTGAAAATAAATCACAAAATTAACACAAACGTAAGGAATGGAGAGAGCACTGAAAATCCAAGTTGAAACAGAGGACACAGATAGCCAAAATCAAACATAAAATATCATAACAAAAGAAGTGAAGAACCACATCAATATGCAGACACAAATGGGGGGAGTGGAGTCAAACTCAAAAACCACCAAAGCCAGTGGAAATGGAGAGACTGGAATAAAACCAGAAATTTTAACGTAGGAAGTGGGAACAAAACCAATTCTGTAGTAAAAGGAAGTAGTGAAGAAAAAGAAAAATAACAAATCAAACTGCAAACCTCAATAAGGAGACCAAGACACACTGCAAATCTAAAAAGTAAGCAGTAGAACAAAAACCCTGAAACAGACTGCAAATCTCCAGCAAAGTGATCAAATAAAAAATAACACCGCACTACAAATCACCATGGAAATAATGGACAGAAAACCCACTATGCAAATAACTATTCGCAACATAATGGGGGGAAGAAAAACCCAAAATCACACTGCAAAGCTCAATCAAAAGGGAAAAGTTCGATTGAAAAGAAAACCCAGTAGAAAATCATAAAACCCAAAGTAGAAGAGGATTTCTGTGCAGAGTAGAGAGGGAAGAGGTAGTTCAAAAAAGCAAACTCAAACCCAAAAATACGTCAAAGCAAAATGCTTACAGCAAAAGAAGAAGCAGAAAAACATGCACACATCACTAGAAAAGCATTAGTAGATCATTAGAAAACTCAAGATGCATGTATCCAAGAAAATGAAGGAGAAATTACAGGAACAACTGTGACAAATGCTTCATGCAGAGAAGGGGAAATAATATGCAAGCTCATTTGGGAGAAAAACTAAAAAAAATCCAAACATTGAAGCCTACATCTCTCATTGGAATGGAAAAAATCAAATAAACCCTAGATGCATGCTTAGTCATAGAAGAAAAAATCACCGCTTGAAAACCCTCAAAATAAAAATAAAAAAAAAGAATAAGACTAAATCTTTTAGCAGGGGTAATGGAGAAATAAAAATAAACCAAACCCACGATTGTGTTTCGAACAAAGAGAGTAAAAGCTCAAGATTGAGAGAAGAGAAAAATGAAGACTCAGAGCACATGAAAAAAAATGGAGAGAGAAGAGATTACATCAACATAGGGTGGATGGCTTGGACTGGAAGCAGCCTTTGGAGGGGAACCGCTGGACGTGGACGCCATGGATGAGCTTCTGGACTTGCAGCACGCCTGTGTTTCTTAGGACCCTAGAGAGAGAAAGTGGAGAGACAGAGAGAGAGGAGAGAGAGAGAGAGAGAGAGAGAAATATTGATTTGGGGAAAACCAGGGGTTTTGGGTATTTTAAAAGGGGTTGCAGTGTTTCGATCGGACGGCTGGGAATGAACATTTGAGAGCAAATCGGACGGCGGGGAGACGCTCATCATAGCCTCACACAGATTGCTGGCGTGGATAAGAAGAGAGGGGAGAAAATTTAATTAATTATTTAAAAAGAAAAGAAAGTGAAGGGTGTGGCTTTTCTTGTGCTCTTCTTTTCCTTTTCCCTTTTTTTTTTTCCCAATTTTTTAATGTATTGTTTCGCTCAATTCTTATAAGAATGAAAGGAATCAATTTCAAAATTTTAATTATTTTTAGGGCAATCTATATTAATAATACAAAATAATTTAGTCTCTGTTTTTTAATTAACCTTGTCTTTGTCCTTATACCCAGTTATACCCTATGTAAGATATATATATGGGTGTGTCTGTGTGTGATGATAGAGGGCTCGGTTCTTGCAATTTAAAATTTAAAATAAATGAGGAGGGTCCGTGCCTCATTTTACCAGACTTGGGCGGTTCTCCTAGTAAATGATAAGCATGGACTCATGGAAATACTATCTTCTTCTTCCCCAAATAAAACCCACAAACGCAAAACTTCAAAAAAAAAAAGAAAAGAAAAAAAAGATGATTTTAGTTGAATAAATTTGGAAAAGAAAAAAAAAAAAGAGAGCAAAAAGAGGAATATTTTTTTTTATCGATTCCAAGTAAATTTAGAAAGTCATACAAGCCGAGCTGAGCAGGCCGGTCCTAAAAAGTAGGACCTAAGGGCCGAGCTAGGGCTAGTGCTGGCCCAATACTTTTTTGTTTTGTTTTCTCTTTCCTTTTCTTTTTTATGTTGCTTAATTTGTTTTTACCCGGCTCCGCAAGGGCTAGGGCCAAAGCTAGCCTGGCTCATGCCCGGCCTATTGTCACCCTTAGTTATATTTGATAGCAAGGTTTAATATTGTGACAATGTTCGGGAATGCCCTATTTGGATCAAATTTGATGGGAGCGGATGGTAGTCCTCCCCATCGTCCACTATTATTTTTTTTTCAATATTTCATCACTTTAGTCGACCTGATCGGTATAGTGGATGTAGTATCCTCGCCCATATTTTCAAACACTACACCATACACAGCTTTTAGAATTTCCAAGAAAAAAAATATATATGAAAAACAAAAATGGATAATAAAATCATGGGACAAATAATTGTGCTATCTCTCTTGCTATTGAAGAAATTGTAAAAGAGGAGAGAAAATTTTTGGCATTAACAAATATTTGAATGCCAATCTCTTTTATGTGTATATTTATATTCATATTTATTTATGCAAAAGCTATATAACCAGCTATATGCTTCTTATCCACTTGTATAAAGCTGTGACTACGATTAGAGGGTTGCTATCACGTGCACTGTGTTTGTAACGGTCAAAAAAAGGTGTTTGAAATTGAAGTCGAACTCAACCAATAGAAAGCATAGATTGTGGCGGGATGCATTTTGAACGTTTTCAATGGATAGGTAAAGTAAGTGCAGCAAAACAAGGGTAGTTACAAGCACTCAAACCCATAGTTAGCAAGTTGGAGAATAATAATAAATCGGTAAATCAAAATATTGGTGATAAATTAGTTTTATTTGAAAAATTTGGAGAGAAAAAACCGAGTCAAAAGTATGGATTGCTAAAAATTCAATATGTTAGAGATTGGTGAATTTTTTTGATTTGGCTCTAAAACCCAAAAAAATATTCAAATACATAAAGATGTCATTAGAGTCATACTTGATAAATATTTGTTTGAACTTTCAATAAATATAACCCAATGCTTACTCGATTGTCACGAGATAAAACATATGATAAATTGAGTATATATATATTCTCTAAAAGCTGAACAGGTTCTATTCAATCTTGAGAAATTATTTTTTTTTAAATGCTTCAATGGTGCAATTAGGAAATTTTTTGTTGAGGTTAATCTATGTGTTAAAAAGATTATATCCCAAAATTGTCCTAAAACTAATCCTAGGCGAGGTTTTACCTAAAGGAGTAAATGGATATTATACTCCCGATGGAGTAAAATATCTTCTGGCTAGATTTATTGCAAGCATATAATGAGACAACAACCATTAGCAAACAACAAAAATTGTAATTCAAGGTATAGGGCTATAGTTTGAAGAAAAAACCAAAATAGACCCTCAGTATATGATGGGTGTGGTTTACATAAGGTTGCAACCTTAAACAATCAGAAACAAGTGTACCACCAAAATTTATCATCATAGTTAATTTTGGTGTAAAAATTCTTAGAATGGCTTGGAATCTATTTTCACCTTTAACTATAGAATTTTAAACTTTAAAAAATGGTTCAAATCAAGTAGATCTATAAACAAATGAAAATCTTGAAATTGGATGGTCTAAAAAATATATTGCAAGATGCTTTATTTTTTAGACTTGAAATTTTTTTCTTTTTCATTTCCATAAATGTCAATATTGAGATGATTAATTAGAGGATTTTTCAACATCAAAACCACTTCTTTCAACGGATTATTGAGGTGCACCTTAATTCTATAGTTTAAGGTTGTAACATTATATAAACTTTTTCCGTATAGGAATGCAGTTAACTAAAACCAAAAAATACAAATGGAAAATAGTAGTCCATCCAAAGTGCTATGTTTTATAGGCTCGTTGAATAAAAACAGTTTGAAATGGTGAACATAATCAACTTCTGTATGCAAAAGGAAACCAATGAAATGCTTAAACAAATCAAATATTCAAATGAATTCCTAGATGCCTAATTCTTTAGTTGTTAGTGAATCAATTTCTTGCTCTTTATAGTATGGCTCTGTGTTTAGAGAACAAAGATTTTTCATTTTGTTACTCTAAATCTACCTATTACTTTGAGTTATTTGTTTATTTTGATGGATTTTTTTTTGAGAAATATATTGCCCACATTTTTTATTTTATGAATTTTTTAAAAATCAAGTTTCTTAAATTTTTTCAACATTTAATGCGCTTATCTCTAAAACCTAAATTCAAAAATATTAAATCCATGAAGAGATAAAGTTACAGGGAAGAGGTTTGTTTGAAAAGGTTTTTTTTAAAAAGATAAAATAGTCTATTAGAAAAAATGATTCTTTGAAGATCTTTTGAAATAGTAAAAATTTTTAACAAATTTCAAAACATCAAAGATTTTTTTAAAACATGCATATTTTAACTTATTAGCTGTGCTCAAACCATGCTAACATGGCAAGGGAAATTTTAAATTAGCGTGCTTTCTCTCTCTCACCCCCCCTTTTCGCCCTTCTCTCCATATTTCAAAATAGCATCACAAATCCGATGTGATGCTCCGTCCTCACGTTCCCTGTAAGCATATGGCATGATCTTGGCCACCCAACCATATTGAGAAAATAAACAATATAAATTTTTTTTTTATTGGGTTACGTTAGGGTGCTTTATAATTGAGTGAATCTCCAAATTTTATCATAACATATAATTTTGGTATAAATTTTTTTTAGGATTATCTGAAAATCTATTTTCATATCTAATTATAAAATTTTAAATTTCAAAAATGGCTAAAATCAAATATATCTATAAACATATGAAAATCTTGAAAATGGATAGTCTAGATAATATGTTGCAAGATGCACTATTTCTGGGACTCAAATTTTTATTTTTATTTATATTCATACATCTCGATATCAAGATAATCAATTAAAAGGTTTATCAACATTAAAATAACCTTTTCAAATAGATTTTTGAAGTGCATCTTTAATTTTATATTTGAGGATGACAACCTTGTGTACACTTTTTCCTTTAATAATTGTACTCAACAACGACACTTACTTATATATCCTTATTTTATACATAGAGCATTTTTTTAATAAAGGTATTTTTCGTCTATAAGAGGGGTATGACATCATTTGCATAAAGTGTGACATCTCACACATGGATCACACGAATGATATTTAATGCTCTATATATGTGACGTTACATTTTATATGGATGATGTTACATCCCTAACAAAAAATACCTTTATTAAAAAAAGGGATTGTTTACAACGAGACTATTTATCTTTAATATAAAGAGGTTACAATTGTTTACAACCAACCGATATGAAATCTAATAGCTTGGATGTGTCACAAAATTCGAAAAAACCTCTTTTAAACTTTGAGTTTAGTCAATAAATAAATACATCCACTCAATTTCACATCAAATGGTCAAGAGTACTTGTGACCATCTTGTATCAAAGATAAATAGTCTCATATACTTTTTCCGAAAAAATATTATATTACAAAATAAAAGTATCTAAAGTTTGTTTAGCATCAGCACACTACCATAGCCCATTTTTGTTTGTTATTTACGGTAACAAGGAAGCCAATATTACATTAACAAGAAAGGGCGTTAATCTCTAAATGTGCCAAAATTCTCCGGTACTTCAATAAAAACAAAACGGTGCGACACATTTATACGATTATTATTTCCAAAAAATTATATTTTCTAGTACATGTGATATAATTTTCTTTGCCCAATAGCTCCATTATATTTTGAGTCCCTTTATAATAGTTTATTATTTTTAGAAGAATTTAAAGAATGCAATTTATACGATTATTATTTATAAAAACTTATATTTTCTAGTACATGTGATATAATTTTGTTTGCCCAATAGCTCCATTATATTTTGAGCCCCTTTATAATAGTTTATTATTTTTAGAAGAATTTAAAGGATGCAATTTCATCGGGGGCTTTTTAAAAAAAAAGGAAAAAAAAAAAAGAAGTAAAACCTCACCTTGAAATCTTGATTGAAAAACACTTTGGAAATGAAAATTTGTAAGATGGTTCTAAAATATATTTCCACCACTATTTATGAAATTTGTAACTCAACTGATATAGATCTTATGGATACACTATATTTAGAGTTTAAAATTTAAAATATTTTTCATAACCATAATGTTCCAAGTTTGCAATGATTGATTTTTAAAGTTTTTCAACACCAAAAACTATAATTTTTGATGAGTTCTAAAGTGAGGCTTTATTTTTTAAAA